CCCCATGGTGTTCTGCATTTCTGAAATTATCAGTGTCAGTTGCTTGAGTGTCTGTCTCCCTCTCTCCCTTCCTGCCTTCCTCAAATCTGCTTAGTTTAGCTTAAGCTGTAGGGACTTCCTCTGTCCTGCTCTACATTTCCTTTATTTCTGCTCTATTCTCGCACACTGCTCCCCCTCCTCTGTTTGTTCTTCCAGTGTCGGCAGCTGCGCTGTTAACAGCTTGAGACCACTTCTTAGTGCAGTCGGTTCACTCTGGGTCTCTGCTGGAGTGTAGCTTGGCGGCCCCTGCAGGTTCTGTCTTATTTCTACCTTCTTCATCTCACAGGGGCTTCTCTGTCCTTCCTGAATTCTACCATTTCCCATTTGTTCAGATGGGCCACTGACTTCTGTTCTGACGCTACTGTCTGGAAGAACACGGCATGCCTGATTTGCATGAGGCTCACGTTAGTGTCAGCCCTTGTCTATTACGGAGCAAGTGCCCTATGCTCTGTGCTGCTGGGAGCAGTGACCAGCAGACGACTGAGAAGTGGGTGGTTCTCACTGGCCTTCCATCTTCCACACCCTTACTGTTCCTCTGCTGAGTTTTCTTATGATAACCACTATGTTACCAATTTTTAAACATTTCTTTTCAAATGGTGAATGACTTCGTAAATATTTGAGTAGTAAAGATAAAAATAACCCTGCAGTACGCACACACAACATCATGGCTGCCATGTACAACAGTGCACTGACAAGGCCCAAGGAAACGCTAAACCTCCCAGTGACAGCTTTTGGTCCATGTGGCCACACTGTGACCAAAGTTGTTTTCCAATCTATCAGCAGAAGTCTACTGCTCTGGCATTTTGTAAATGTCTGTAAATGCATAGGCACAGGGCTTCTGCAAGACAGGACATGTATGTTGGTCATATTCTGGCCCACTCACACTCTGCTGATACTTCCTCCTGGATAGTAACTGCCACAGAAGTTGCATGGTACACAGATGCTCCTCACTGTTCCTCTGCAGGTCTGGAACCAAACCGTGGGCGGCAGCAGCACCTCCCCGCTGAGGAGCACTGGGGAAAGCCCGGCAGATGAATTTAGTTGCAATCTAGGCTCACATAACACGTGGGAAAGAGACATACAGTGGGTAAGACTGAAGCCCAACACGAAAGCACCCACTCCTAAACTGGCACTGAGTGAGAGGCCCACAGCATCGCTTCATCTTCCGCTGCCCCCTGAAGCCCTACTTCTGTGGCAATGCAAACTGGAGGGGCAACCATGTTTGTAACCCAGCTAGTGCCCAGTTCTCTGGCAGGGATATGCTTCCTGTGCCAGGGGTACTGGGTACAGCCCAGCAGCACCACATACTTCAACCGTGTTCAGAAACTCCTCTCCAGAAAGCAATGCTAAGAGCAGGCTGTACTTCTGAAGTTCTGACTTACACGGGAAACGCAGAAATAAATATTCTTAATGCTCATAGGAAAATGCACTGTTTGTTCCAGTCCCCTGCCATGTTTGCTTTCAAGAGTAATTTATGAGAAGATGACATACAGAATCAAATCAGCCTGAGATTAAACCTCCTGAGCGAGAATCCACTGTGAGGTAGTCTTCACTGTGCAGAACAGTCATCGTCATTCCTCCTGTGCAGCCAACGAACACTCAATTACCCTAAGGTATCAGCCCAGAGTGCCTGGTCAAAATTGTTTCTAAATTGAAATAGCAGAGATGCGTGGGGGGAATGCATCTTTGTTGTTTTGGTTTTTTTTTTTTTTTTTTATCCTATACTCAAAATATTTATTTAAACTAAAATACAACCTCTGCTGGAAATGTGCCAACCAAGGTGATAGAATAATGTTTCTTAATTTTAAGCCAAATTTAACATTCTTGGACAGAATATGATAGTGACTATTTTAAAAGGCCAGGATTCACTTAAAAATTATACTATGTGGTGGGGTGGGGGGGCTTAAAAATCCAATACCAGCAGAAAGAGTTCATGAATTATACAACGTTATCTCACAGAATACCACATGCAGGAGGCAGGGATGAGCCTCAGGAAGATATCTCAATACAATAGAGGAAGCAGATGCTACTGCCGGAGCGAGAAAAGCACTGGGCACACAGTGTGCTGCCAACCACAGAAAACAGGTGTGAGGAAAAGAATTAGGAGGGAGCGCCCAAACCACTGTCACCCACAGTGGCCACTGGCAGCCTGCACAACAACCCTCCTCCCACCTGGTAACGTCTCCTGTGTCCCAGGAACCTAAGCAAGTCCTGAGCTAGCTAGAGGAGAGAAGCCAGAAGAGTGGCCCAAACAGGAAGGTCAGGTGTTCCCACTTCTCCTTTTCCTCTTATCTGTACGTCCCCAAACCCCGGCAACTCTCTCTCTCTCTCTCTCATTGATTTAAAAGCCCTGGCTCTTAACTGCACAACAGAGAAACATCTTAAGGATTCAATCCAAACGCACCTGCCAAACTCCTACCCTGCACAATGTGACACAGGAGACAGTCCTGAGTGCAAGGCAAAGGCTGATGCCCAGGAGGGCTCACTGAAACTGAGTCATGGTGGCCTCCCACCCTCCATGCCCATGAGCTCTTCCCTGGGCTGCAGTGATCCTGATGATACAGACCCTCTCCTGGCCCTTCCTAAGATCTGCTCTCCTCAGGGCCAGTCCAGACCAGTGACTGTATGCTCCTCTCAAAACTTGTGAGACAGGCAGCCTATGCACATGACTTTCCTTGGAGCCTGCAGGAAGGCCAACTGTAGGCAGCTTTGGAAGCTGTCATCCACACCCTCCAACCAACAACAGCTTAGGACGTTCTCTGTGAGAACAATCATCTCTCTAAGGCTCTCCAACATACTGTTATGGTCACCAGTTCATTCCTCATGGGCCCAGAGTTTTTCCTCCACACTCGGCTATTCCTCTGAGTCTTGCAACTTTAAAAAAAAAATGAATTATTTATTTAGTGTGTGTGCATAAGTTCATGTGTGTTTGTATTTTTACGTATCTTTACATATGTATGTGTGTTCATGTGGGAGGGATGCCTTGCAAAAACATCTCTGTGTCCAGTTCAAGACAGACTTACAAAGCACCCACATTCCCTACCTCCTCCAATCATTGTTTCTCCTACACAATTAACACCACGGTCATGGCCACTCACCCTGTCTGCTAATAATCAGGAAATGCATTAAGAATCAGTTGGGTCTTACAACATAAGTCAGTGGTAAAGCAGTTAAAACAAACTTATTTACCACATTAATCAAATGGCCCATTTAGCCTAACCCATCATTCCTCTAAGCATGGTGGTTGAACTGAGGTCCACAGATAGAGATCTTCCTGTGCCAGAACCATCAGGAGCACTCTTGCCACCTCTCAGATGGGGGTTGAAAGGACAGAGATGCTAGGAAGCAAGCAGTGGCTCTCCCTCATTGGTTAGCATTGACCTATGATATAATCAACTCACTGACTGGACGTATTGTCGTCCTCGGGATGACCTGTCCTTGAGTGAACCTCTCCTCCAGGTGACCACAGCTGACTGAGGGCTGAAATGCTCCAGTCTATAACCACACAAAAACAAGCCAGCACCATGTAAGGAGCGGTCTCAAGAGAACAAACGGTGTCAACTTTAAACACAATGTTCAAAGTGAAGAGTGACCCTTCCTACGTACATAATTCATTTTCACAAAGGAATCAGAAAGTACACACATCACTGATCAGATGCTTCATAAACTTTGAAGTGCTCAGAGCGGGTGACGTCATGTCACAGTTTGCTAATGTAAATGGACAAAAAGAACTCACAAGCAAGCAAGAAGACTCAATGAAGACAAGTGAGGAGGCTCACTGCCAAACCTCACAACCTAAGCTCAGTCCCCAATACCCACATGTGAAGGAGAGAAAGGACTTCCACAAGATGCCCTCTGACCTCCACAGGCAACCTAGACAGACAGAGACACACACAGGTGAACACACACATGCGCGCGCGCGCGCGCACACACAGTGTAGAGCTTTAAAAAATTTAAAGAGACAGAACTCAGAGTCTAACAGCACAGTCTACCTCTCTCACAGCTAAGCAGTTTACATGTAATTTATCTTCTCATGAAACAATGCTACTGATGTCAATATTAGGAACTGCTGAAAAGTCATCAGAAGTGTGCCTGCTTCACAGCTTATCCATAAAACACTGAACTAGTAATGCCTTATCACATTAATCTAACCCATTTAAACTCGGCACTGAAAGCACTGAACTGAGGGTCATTAGGAGAAACCAAACTCCCAAATAGACTCATTTATCCCCATATGTTATTTTAAAATGGGGTACTGTCAGGTGTGAGCATATCTGCAATAACTGTGGATGTAAAGATTGTTTTTAGAGCTGACCTCAATGATAAGACTGCCCTCTCCTCAATTGTGAGGGCTAGTCTTGGTTGTCAAATTTGACTGAAATTAACAAAACCCTAAATTCCTGGGCACGCCTGTGAGGATTTTTTTCTTAATTAAACCATTTGAAGTGGGAAGACCCACTCCTAATCTGGATCTTTGAGTTGGAAAGATCCACCTTTAATCTGGGCCACGCCTTCTGCTGGCAGCCTATATAAAGAACGTGAAAGGAAACTTGCTCCCTTTGCCTGCTTGCTCTAATTCTTGCTAGCAACTCCATCCCTTCACTACCCTTCTTCTTCAGGGTTCCGGCATATATTGAAGACCAGTTGAGACATCTGACCTCATGAACTGAACAACTACTGGATTCTCGGGCCTTCCATTGTAGCCAGCCATAATTGGACTATCTAGACCACAGCCTGTAAATAATTGTAATAAATCCCCTCACTACATGACAGACAGATAGAGAGATATTGAGGATTCTATAAGATCTGTTCCTCTGAGAACCCTTACTAACAGCTGTCATTTGTTAGTACTATGACCCTGAGGGGCAATTGTCAGCATTGGTATACATACGCAATGAACACAGCAAACCTAATGAGGTTCACACTGGGCATCCAGAGGCAGTGTTGTGGTGTGTGCCTACCTATGTACTCGCAAATGAAGACCACGAAGAATGGAGTGACCAGGTCGTTTATCCCCTGAACGTATCCACTGGCAGGATGTCGGATAGCCCATATAAACAAGATCCTTTCGAAAATCTGAAAGAAAACGGAATTGGCAATAAAGCAAGATATGAACACAGTAAAAATTTAAAATGCACTCACGTTTTTAATTAAAATATATGCCATCAATATTCCTCACTGTCTCCAATACTAAGGCACAAACATGGACAGATATCCATTCTACTTTCTTTGCAAAAGTCTGATGATCTTAACTCTTTATTGGTTCACTTTCACCACAGTATTCTACAAACCCTGGGTTCAGCTCTTTCCCACCTCTAACACTAGCTTCTCTGCTCCTTGGAGACCAGCAGGTCACAGGGACACAGAGCAGCCCAGGCTCTGTGCTTAGTGATAGATGGGTGAGCAGGAAAGTGGAGGAGGGGAAGGAGGAAGGGAGGGAAAGGGGGGGATACAGCATACGTGCATGCATCCATGTCCCATGCACATGTGCATGCATCCATGTCCCCACAAGGTAAATAGACTTAATTCCCTAGAAAGTTAGCTCGGTCCAAGAAAAAACATTGAGGTACCCAGCTCCCTGAGTTATGAAGTATTAAGTACCTTCCTTCTTCCTCAGAAAGACCTCCAACTGACCTTTCTTCTTCAGCAGCTTTTTTCCACTCACTCTTCTCCATCTTTGCTCTTGAGATTAACCTTATCAAGGTACAACAGACCCACACCACCCCAGGCTTCTCACACATACGTGCGTGCACCCACACCAATGCTTTAGAGACCTTCCCTTCGTCCACAGCATAGTCTCCCCAAACTCTGGGCCTGTCCCAAGGGCCTTTTGTAACCATTACCCACATTCTGCACCCTCCTCAGAGCCCAACAGGTTACCCATCGCCCTGAGGGCCTCCTACTGCTTCAGGCTGAAGTAAGTGCCACTAGTTGAGACAGCCCAAGCACTGCTGTCTGCACCTTCGGCTCCCTGCCCACCTTCTTCATGGAGGAGCCAGTCACATCCTACCATGTGACTCTGCCTTCCCTCCTTCCCACTGTCATTCACTGGTGGCTCCTGCTTGGAATTTCGGTCTAAAGCCAGCCAAAGCCAGACGGTACTACTCTGCCCAGATATCACATAGGCAAGGGTACAAGAAAGGTGGTGAACAGGTAGTTACATGAATAGTGTTCCAGAACCTCTAATCACATCAAATCTGGAAGAACCTGATGTTTGCACATTCTGGGAAGTCAGGCCCTTCCTACATCATCTCCACTCCAAAGTATGATTGGGCTTGGCACATTAACCCCCAGATTTACAAAGGAGAGGCCTAGAGTTCAGACAAGCAAAGCCTCGGTTCCCAAGACATGAACCTCCCAGTGGCAAACGCAGCCCTGAAGTCTGTCCCCACCCCCATACCAGTATACACTAGTGAATAACAAGCAACCACCACCTGTAGCACAGCAGGCGCCAGCTCAATATTTGCTGAATGAGTGACACGCTCATGCACATAAATTCATATACATTTTTCACCAGTCAACAGTTTCCTAGAGAGAAATGAATATTTAAACAAGTTCAGAGGCACTTGCCTAGCATGTGTGAGGGCCCTGCATACAATCAGTAGCACCACTAAAAAATTAAAATACAATAAAAACAAGTTCAGAGGCTTGAGAGATAGCTCAGTCGCAAAGTGTTACCCTACAAGCACAAGGACCTCAATTAGAATTCCAAGCCAGGGGCGGGTATAATTCTGATCTCAGGGGTGGAAACAGGAAAATCCCTGCAGCTCACTGTCCAGCATAAGAGCTTCAAGGTTAGTGCGACACGCTGGCTCAAAAAAAAATAAAAGTGCAGGCAATCAAAGAAAGCCAGTGCTGATGTGGGTGGGACACATGAACCCACACTAACAAATACACAGTATACATACACACACGGACGCACATATACAGAGATGGGGGAGGGGCACGCACGCTTGCATGCACACCTCAAAATCTGAACCTCACCAGAGGCCCTGGATGCATAGGAGGCTGTCACAGCTACCCAGGAGCAGAGCTCCCTCTGCTCACACCCACAGGCAAACAGGATATACTCTATGCCCTGGTGAACACACCTTGAAAGACCTGAGAAGGCTGGAGACAAGGGGATGGCCTGGGCTCTTAGACTTCAGTTCCAAGCACAAGCCTCCATCAGTGGGACTCAAGGTATCGACTCGGGATATAGTGCCAGCACCTTCCGGGGAGGACAAACTAGTAGCACAGAGTGTGTTCTGTGGGCAGATGAGCCCAGTTGGCAGTTGGGAGGCCAATGCCCTCCAGCTGCTCTACAGAGAAGCAACAGCGCTCCCCTGAGGAAGCCGCAGAGTAGGTTTCTGCCAGCTGCTGACAACACAGCACACCTTGCCATTACTGCACCTGAAGAGCGAGCAGGCTACAGCCCTAGAAAAATCCAGAAATACTCCAGTTTCTTATGAGCAAAGGAAAGCTCCCAGTCAGCCCAGCTGTTCACATTTAACTCCATCAGACCTCTCCTGACAACCTGAAATTCCTACCTTATGGCTCTGGTCCCAGAACGACACAGGCACAGGAACTGGTACAGGCATCCAGAGAACAAGCTAAGGCTGACTTCTAGTCAGTGGACAGTGGCTAGAGCTGCAAAACAAGCCCTGATCCCAAAGTCATTTAGTATTTATGGAAACTTCCTTGTCCTATCATCTGAAAGTGTTCTGGGGGAGCGGGAGGGGATCATTCTTCATGGGGCCACAGCCTACAACTCCATGAAAATCCCTTGGATTTTGAGCAGAAGGTTGGAAACAACGTGGTGCCAGTGAAGGCAGGGTCAGCTCAGCAGAGAGCAGATAGAAGATCCTATCAGGTGCAGGAGGTTTAACTCATGCTGAAGTGCTTCGGGGAAGCATGCACAATGCCCCAAAGGGCATAAGGCACAGAGGCCCTTGCACATGGATGTGCCCACTGGAAACAGACTGGTCTGAGGGACCTTGACTATGAACACTCATGACAGCATTAGCCCTTAGGGTTCAGTTTTGCCATTCTTGATATCCTTGTCCATTAGAGGGGACTGCATTAAAAGTAAAACAAATTCTGAACTCTTCCCAAAGGCTCTTTTCTGAAATTCAGTAATGAAAATGCTTACTGCCATATGCTACCCCAGGCTGAAGACATCAAGAGGCCAGTCTGAGGATGTGGCTCCGTCGGTTAAGTGCCTGCCATACAGGCATGAGGCTCTGAGTTCAGAATCCCAGCACCCACCTAAAAGAAGCTGAGCTCTGTGGAACATAACTAGAATTACAGCACTGGGAGGGAAGAAAGAGAGATGGGTGGAGCCCTGGGGCTTGATAGACAGCCAGTCCACCAATCAGCTGGCTCCAGACTCAGTGAAGCACTGTCTTAAAAAATACAGTGAAGAAACAGCTGAGAAAGATATGCAAACAGCAACCTCTGGCCTCAATACATAACTACATGGGTGAGCATATATGCATGCATACACACGTATACACATAGACATGTACATGCATATACAAATGCATGCACATAGACATGTACATCTACCAGCACACACACATGTAGACACACACAGTCAAAGCACTTATCCTTATTTGATAGGTCTTATCAGACCTCTACCACATGCCTCCTCAGCAGACCAGAATTCAGCTGCTCAGCACATGTGGGAGCCAAGATGTTCTGCACACCAAAAGTAAAACAGAAGGGCACTGAAATGTCACCTTAATCAGGATTCCATACCAAACCTGGTGTCAGAAACAGGGAAAAAAACATTCTACAACTACCACAAGAGTCCACACAGCACCCAAGGTGTTCCTGAGAGGGGACCAGCACACATGCTGGGAAGACCTGGCTTCACACACTTTAAATGCCGACAGCACAGGAGGCTAAGGAGGAAAACCACTTATAACCCTAGTGATGAGGCAAAGCAGAAGTGTACAGCATGCTGAGGGGCTGGAGAGCTGGCTCGGTGGTCCAAGCACTGTTACTCCTGCAGAGGACCCAAGGTGGTTTCCAGCACCCAGGCCAAGCAGACCACAAATGACTCTAACTCCAGCTCAAGAGAGTCTGAAGTCCTCTTCTGGCCTCCATGGGCACCTGCACTCACACGACATATTCACACACACACATAAATAAATAATATAATTAAACTTCTAAAAAGCAAAAGTCAATGACAAACCTAAAGCGTGTCCTAAAAAAGGCAACCATTTACCACTTGAAATACACACTGTGAATCAAGAGCTCTCCAACTGCACTGCCTCCCTAGCACCACTAACACTCTATATACTGAAAATTTAAAAATAAAAATAAAAAAATCTTTCAAGACACTGTAAGAATGTGTGTGAATAAGTTCAACAAGTTATCAAGATAAAAACTTTGTTTAGAATTAAAGACAGGAGGGGCTGGGGAAATGGCTCAGAAACGTAAACGTACGAGCTGCTCTCGTAGAGGACCTGGGTTTGAGTCTCAGCTCACACGGCAGCTCACAGCATCTGTACTCCCAGTCCTGGGACGATCTAACACTGTCTTCTGGACTTTGTGGGCACCAGGCACACACCTGGTGCATAGACATATATGCGTGCAAAACACCCTTATACATCAAATAAGTAAATAAAATTTTAAAAATATAAGTAAGAAACTCATTAAAATGTAAAGATAAGAGGGACTGGAGAAATGCTCAGTGGTTAAGAGTACTTGCTGCTCTTCAAGAGGACCCACATGGCTCACAACTGTCTATAACCCTAGTTCCAAAGGATCTGACATCCTCTTTTAGACTTGGCAGGTTCCTGTATGCATGTGGTACAAGCAAATACTCACATACATAAAATAAAAGTAAATCTTTAAAAAAATAAAGACAAAAACTAAGGAACCACAAAAACAAAGGATTAATTCCCTTCAAACTGATCAACAGATGCAACTCAAATTGGGAGAGTCCATGATACCTAGCAAGCTCACTTTAACACACAAGGAAAGGTAGGAGCAGCCAGGAAACAGACCCAGGAGTGAGCAGCCTGGCTTGGCCCACAAGACTCAAGACTACAATAATCAAGGCCAAGTCAGGACAAAGACAGACAAAC